TATGTTGTTCCTAGCAAAGAGGGCTACGTTTTGACCGGGGCTGATTATCCACATTCATCTCCATTTGTCTGGGCTTCACACACTTGTTTAGTGAGACTTTCTCCTTTTATAGTGTGTATTTGTTTTATGGTGATGTTGGTTTTGATATCCAAGAACTATATGTGTTCTTGATGTATTGGTAGCCTCTGGAGTGTATTCTAGATAAGGTTAACTGTGTATCCCATTATTTTCATAGTGGAAGACTTTTACTAAACTAAGTCCCAGGGTTTTTCCCGTCACAGGGTTTCCTCTTTAAAAATCTGGTATTCAATTTATATTCTGTCAGTGTGAGGGAGTTTGTTAGATTTGCATATTATAGCTGCCATTTTAATTCTTGTGTATTGAGGGGTTGAATATTACTTTCGCTGCTTGTTTGTTGTATTGGCTCAATCCCCAACATTCACTCACCTTCCACAAAAATGGATTATTCGAAGAAGCATTAGCATAAAAAGACACAAAAGATGGTTACAGCTAGGGATAAAATTAATAAGTTGGTTCCTTTTATGGTGTAATGGCAACTTTATTATGCATGTGTTCATGTTGCTGCTTGAGATAGTATTCTCGCAACAAAGTGCAATAATGAAACTTAAGAAATGGCACAAGAATCAACATTACTCAGTTTAGGCACACAAAAAATGCTGAAATAGGGAAAGGATTTATCTTGTTTTCCAAAGTCATCAGTCAATGTTATTTATAAAATTTGACAAAAAAAGAATTGAAACAAAATTGACAGAAAGAATAAAGAAATGAATTTTGAACACATTTTGTGGTCACAGGGATTTATTTTTTTGGATCTTTCCACATAACTCAGATCCTAACAGAGATGAAAAGAAAATCGTGTAGACTACTTGAACTTTAGTCGGAACAAGACTAACTTCATCATTTTCAACGAAACTGCTTTCCACTTTTTTAATACAAATTTGGCAGATAAATAAGTCAGAAATATGCAAAACAAATACCGTAAAGTGCTGAAGAGGTCAAGAAGGAGAGAGATAATAGCATTAGCATTTGGCACTATAGCGTCTATTATTTTCATGTCCATTTTGCTCCTTCAAAGTTT